TCCGTGGACTACGAAACGCGTCTCGCGATGCTTGATCTCTTTCCCCTGGAGTACCGTCGCCTCCGAGGGGACCTAATTATTGCTTACGCCCTGTGTGAACAAAGCTTGGCAAACAGGATTTACCGTTGACCCAGCAAACACACGGCGGGGACATAGTAAGAAAATTTTCAAGCTCAGGTCACACATTCATTAGACAAAAGTTTTTCTCATTTCGGGTGGTATCTGCGTGGAATGACCTTCCTCCGACGGTTGTACACGCTCCTTCTCGAACACAATTTAAAGCACTATTAGACATTTATTTATGCGAATCCTCGCGCTGGCGAGCATACTGCGCCGCGCTGAGAACATTAAGAGCGGTGCTACACCCTTTTATCACTTGTGCCTTTCAGGTGAACGACAGCCACTGACCGACAAGAACAAAACCGACCCGGGAAACTTGGGCAAAAGCGTCGATCCTGTGTATCAATTCGTGAATCCGTGAATCAGCGCGGGCAGCATGCTTGCCAGCGCGAGGATTCGCAGAAGTGTCTAATAGTCTTTGGATTGGGTTCAGGAAAGAGTGTGGACAACCGTCGGAGGAAGGTTATTCCACGTAGCCACTACCCGAAATGATTTTGCCCAATGAACGTGTGCGCTATGAGCATGAGAATCTTTTTACAATGTTCCCGACTGGTTCATTGTGAATCAAGCATGGACGCAGGTGTATGCTGATTCACGTGAAAAATTCGACAGAGCGGGATCAGTCGATTAGGTTGGTACTGGTGAAATTCACAGGACGCGTTCAAATCGCGGTGGGCTATTTGAATGCCGCGGAAGTGTATTTTGCCCGCTGTACGTTTCCGCAATAATCTTCATTCTGCTCAAGGCATATCGTTACTTTCACAAGACATTAGTGCCTGTGGTGTTTTGTACCTTTATTTTACTTCCATTATGACACTACGTATTTCATCAATTGCATAATCGTTTTTTGTTTGAATACGAAAAACTACAAAAAACGCGTACTTGTACAATTTCACATAATACAAGCGTGGTCACTTGCTTCGCCTCTCTCTTCTGATTTTGCTCGCGCTTGCAGCGGTCATTCGCGAGTCTCATGCACTAACTCTGGTATCAAGACATTTCAGACATCTTCGAAATCTATTATATGTGGGAACTGTTCAGAATAAGACCTCTGGACAAACATAATTGGATTATTGTTTATTCATTGACCTGGGCCAACGAGGAGCTATTTTGAAGAGAACAATTGTTAGTGAGTCTGTTTCATCTGACATCTTTATTTTTGTATACCCAACCTAGCGTTATTATTTTTATTTCTTTGCCACACACTCCTGGTAAACTAACTTACTGGGTAAGCCAGACCATACGTACCGTTTGCAGATTGATTCTTTTCTGGTGGACCGCATTAACTCCAGTGTCATAACGGCAAGGAAAGATTATTCGCGTTCGTAAGATGTCTACAAACCGGCACAAGGTGACAGCCATAATCCAGTGATATGTTGAATAACGGAAAGGCCCCAGTTAGCACGCGTCCGCTCCTGGGTGCAGAAC